GAGAAACCGGCGTGGGCTGTCAACGGATTTTCAGCAACCTTATGAGTTGAACACAAACACTCTAAAGACTTACATTCGTTGTCCACATGTTTGCCTTCGAGTTGAACAAGTGAGCGTATGTCTCTCTTGTTGGCCAAATGAACCGGGGTTGCTAGTGTTTCCACTTAGCAGTGAAGTGCTGTTGACAACCGTCAGTCAGCAAAGTTTTTCTTCGACAAAAACTCAACCTTTCCGATGCCTTATACTTAGTTTAAGTAAAAAATTGGGTAATCATCGTTTCAGAGGTTTGGTAAACAATCGGTGGATTTATTGCTGGGCAACGTTACGCTTTTGACACAAAAGCTTTGTTAGGCCAATTGAGTAAGTAGGTTGATAGGGTTTTAAGGCCGTCAGGGAACCAATCCGTGAGATTTATTATGACTAGCCGACTTGATCAGTGCTGGGTGTCAGTCTGATGTTCCTGTTTGTTGGTTAGTGGGGATGACTAACATTTAAGATAGATTGTTAGCGAAGAATTGTCTTCATTGTGAACCCGGACTTTTCGACCTTGCTTTTTCTGTCTAGGACACCTTCCTCTTGGGGATCAGACATCTCCGGAATTGCACACCAGAATCGGTGAGCATAAGCGATCCATTAACAGACCACCGAGAATATCAGGGGCTAATCAAAGATTCGGCAATGGCAGAGTATGTACTAGACACTGGGTATAAGATGGATTTGGAAAATGTGGATATTCTGAGACGGGGTTTAAGATTCACACCAAAGCGGCGGTGGAAATCGCCAAGCATCTCAGCATGAATAGAATAGAGGGCATAGAACTTCCGAGCGTGCGAAGAGCGGATTTAGATTAGCTGAGATGACCCCAGGCGGTGTGCAATTATCAGCAAAATGGTCTGGGTCTAAAAGTACAAAATCCAAGCAGAGTAAGATCCGATTAATCACCCCCAACCTCAAACTGTGTGTCCCGGCACCCCTCAGCGAATACAGGCAAACAAAATTTGCGAACGACCCCAAGGAATATTCCATTAAGGTGTCCTAGACAGAAATAGCAAGGTCGAAAAGTCCGGGTTCAACAACTCCCCCCTAACCAATCTATCTCGAAGCTTAGTCATCCCCACTAACCAACAAACAGGAACATCAGGCTGACACCCAGCGTTGATCAAGTCGGCTAGTCATAATAAATCTCACGGATTGGTTCCCTGACTGCCTTAAAACCCTATCAACCTACTTACTCACTTGGCCTGACAAAGCTTGTGTGTCAAAAAGCGAAACGTTGCCCAGCAATACATCCACCGATTGTTTACCTAACCTCTCTGAAACGATGACTACTTAATCGGACCAAACATTTTCCAACTGATTGGAAGTCGGGAATCATATTTCGGAAGATCATCTCGTCTATGTTCAATGGATCAAGATCTCTGTGGTTTCGCGTCGGTTGTTTTCGGCCATCGATGTTATTACCATTTCGAGTTCTCAGGAAAAAGTGGGGGTTGGAAATTCTCAGACTGAAGTGCCCCCCACAGTGTTTATTCAAAGTCCTTCTGTTTCAAACACGCGACCATGGGGTGACTTATTTAGGAACAGAAGTAAAGCTTGTCAGGGATGTTTTTCTGTTGGAGTGTGACGGCGTCGAAGGAAACATGGATCAAGTACATAGGCTAAGAGAATTTGACGAAGCTAGGGAGATGGGAAGACACTGATATGAACGGGCTTCATTTGATTGGAAACATCGAAATCAATGCAATATGATCGTCCGTAGTGAACACCCCTCTCGAAATGATTACTTTTGACTCCTTCGTGACTCTTATACGATGAGTAGCCGACCACTTTATGAAAAATTCTAGTTTCATGCAGATCGAGCATAAAATTCTACGACTGCCACATACATTGTACCTCTTCGTATACCTCATTCATCGTCATTGGAGATAGCAACATCTGTTTGAACATTGATTTTCCAGTGCCGTAAAACCGGTGTTTATTTAATTATCTTCAAACCGTAGAGTAAAACACGAAAGACGCTTGCGGCTTGGTCTGCCGCATTGTGATATGTCTACACCTCCAAACATCCAGTCAGAAAATCTGAGATGAAGACAGCACCAACACCATTGATATTGACCAGCCAATATTTCGTACGGCGTTTCCAGCCACCACCAACACTCAAACTGTAATCCCTTTCACATCATGCCATGTCACACGCTGTCCATCTCGCAGTGTACGCCATTTTGAAGGACAACGACTTGTATCGATAGACTATGAATCTTCATGCGTAGTATATGGCCAAGCTATCACAGTTGACGGTGCTGGATGCTTTCTGTATTTGCTACACAACTGAGCACCATAGGTTACTTTCTGTCAGGTGGACGTGAATAAGTTAGACGGACACTGAGCGAGGAATTCGCCGCCGTGGAAGGCCGGTGGAAGCATGGTCAAACTTGAGCAGGATTATATATTCGTAAACATTTTAGTTTTAATAGGCTTCTATGTTCGTCCATGTTTCTATCAAAGGTCGACTTTCAAGTGTTAACTAAATTGGTGTCCGAAGTATGTAGCCATTTGGTTCGCGCGTTCCATGCTGGATACAAAAGAGCTATTGTGATACCATGTGGTTCCACTGACAGGATGTCTCCGAGGGCCCGTCTAACTGATCGAGTGAAGCTACCTGTAGACATTCCATATCAATTTTCGCATCCATTTCTTGGAAGTTCTGAATCGACCAAGCCTTCCGGGTCTGTGCGAATACTTAGTTTTTCCTGGTGTTGGGTCATGCATCTAGAGTTATCGTTGTGCCTGAAAGGAATCTGTCCCCGGACCTCTAGCGAAACCAGGTTCAGGTGATTGATACAACGATTGGAACACGCTGACGGTTCGTTACTTATACGGGATTTAGCAGATTGCTTATAGCTACTTGGCTGACGACCTTAAAGAATCCGCTTTGGCGATCTGCGAGCGTAGCCTCGCCACACTTCAGAATGCGAATGATTGGCAAACGTTACCACGTTGTGCATTCTCTCGGGTCCAAAGACGACCGTATAGTTTGGTAGGCAAATTTTGAGTTAGAGGAACACAATGCCTCTTGGTCTGAGTGTTAAAACACTCAATCGCACTGCAGTTAGCTCGACTATGGAGTTAAAAAAAACATATTCATATAGATGCAGAATCTTAGTGGGCAGTAGTTCCCTATCTAGACTATAGTCTTATAACGATGAATATATTTGCCCTCTTTCTGAAGTAAGATATAAGGATTACCTCCAAGGAAACATCTCAACACCTTGGAACGCAGTTACGTGTTTCAGAAAAGTTGGCCTCGTGCTGACTCTGAGATTATAAGGTGCGCACTAGAGGAGTACTGATTATTTCTCGTTGGCGATGCAGCTAATTTTCCGCAACAAAAAACACGGTGTCGCTATGTTTATTAGCTGGCAACGATGTCCGTGGAAAAGTTCGTCTCGAATGCACAGTGACATACACCACTCCCCGAAAGATGCCCATGGGCGACCAGCCACTAGTGGATTGAACACGAAGTGGATTGTAAGTTTCTATGGGCTGAAAATATACATCTGGTTACCTGATTTATTTATGTACTTAACTGAGGGTCTTCTGTGACCTTGTCACTCTAAAATAATCTACACTAGAACTACTCACGGTTAAATGGTCTACGTTGGGAGAGAATATATTCCACGACGGTGCGAGCAAATCACAATATAGGTACCTCAGTTTTCTATAGTAATATATTGGGAATCCTGCAACATCAGCTCCCTATAAAGAGCACCATCTTCCGGTGATATCGTCGTTATGATCACCATCGAGACAATTCCTCTAGGAAGCCATCACTTTACGAACGTCAACTGGATTTCTTATCTTCTCAAAAATTAGATCAAAAAGCTTGTTTGTGTGTTCCCTATAAATGCAGGTCATATTGTACTGATACAGCATTCATGGAATATTTTTTTGCATTAGCTTGTATGACCAACACATGCACTTCGAATGCAAACTGGTCTACAGGTACATGGTGACCCACTCACGTGATTATCGACGTACTTAGTGAGTTTCAAACCCATGAAATAAGGTGCGCAACCTACTAATGTCGTCATCACCAACCATGAAGGTCACGTTTACGTTTGACAAAGTAATCCTTATAGAGTGGGGACTACGGTATTTTGACAAACCGTGTCGCTTTTGGCTGTCATCTGAGACTGATTTCATGCCAACGGAGACTGTATCCATTCAACAAGTTAAACAACAACGAAGGAGACTTAGTCACCTGGTTACCCGACTGATCGGTCAATAAAAAGAAACGGCGCACAATTAAGTTCAGGACAATCTAAAGATTGCATCAAGGTTCTTTTGGACATCCGACGGAGGTTTAATTCAGATGATTGCAGCGACCTCGGGCACAGATGAGTTCTGATCAATTGTGAACGCCGAGGCCAAATCAACTACGTGGCTTGTGTCCACAAGACTCTTGCCAATTTCTGATTAAAGTAGCTTACGGTAGAGCAATGGTTTGTTCTTAGGTTCTGGGATCAGAACGAAATGTCTTCTTTCTTTCGGGGATTGAGAAACCTATCAATTTTTAAATACTTAACTTTCTCTGCACTTCATGCGAACCGATTTGGTCTCAACAGGCCTCTCTTCCTTAATTAGGGTAGTGTTAATTTTGACCCAGGTTTAAGACACGGCGTATCCTCAATAACCTCATCCCATTAAGAGAGTACCAATAAGTCGCGCCAGGTTGCTTGTAGTTCCCACTTCCTCATGTCCTTATGGAGGGGTATGTTGAGACGAAGGTTGAACAATCAAAACTCCTCCACCACGCACGAAAGCATTTATTGTTAAATACGATAAGGGATTGAGGACATGATCCTAATTACACATGTTGCATAATAGCCCTGCAGTAATGGTGACGTGATACGATTACTATTCTTGCACCATGCGGACGTCTGCTTTAAGCGAAACACAGGATGTCACCCATTTAGTATCGCGCTCCATTAATTCCACGGTTTTTGATGACCAAACGCCTGTAAACGATGGGATACTCCATGATGTCAGTTTACTTCGTTTTCTGTTTTCATTCAATGTTGAAAACCTGTCGCCAGCAAGATCTGCAATGAGTTGCAAGTGTGCAGCATGTAGTTATTGACTGTCCTTCTTCTAGCCGTCAAATTAATTTTTAAGAAAGACTTATTAAACGGATCGGTTCCAAATACACGGTAGCCGCCATCATACACCAACAACTCGAAGCGTGAAATACAAGCAAAATACTGTCATCCCTGTGACTCAATCTTCTCTGGTGTCCGATAAAAGAGGATATGTTCCATTCGGTTGTAAGTGTTCGAAAACTCACTGAAAAGTTCGTCATTGTCTTCATTTACCCGCATTAGCTGTGCTGTCCACGTTTTGTTACCCGGAATCAAAGAAAAGATTTGTTACGCCCTCTGAACTAATTCCTAAAAGTAACAGTGGAACGTCCCTTATTTGTTTATGCCTGCCTTCTCAACCATAGTAACACGGCTTGTGACGAATGCTTGTTTGAAATATTATCTGAAGAAGGTCATACCTGACATTATGTTCGATCGAGAGCTTTCTCGCCCTTCAGTACAAGACTACGATACAGCTATCTTGGCAAGCACTGATTTGTCAGCTACACAATTGCTCCACCTGTTCATACTGCAGTCATAACCAAACCGAGCTCCAAGTAGGGCTTTTATCGCTCTCGCGTGCCTATGTAGTATGTGCTGATTGAGACCGTTGAAAATTCCCCGTTACAAATATGTTGGGTGGCTGGTAACTTTGCCCGATTACAATCACCATGTATATTGGCTACTGATCCGTTCGATAGTAGTGGATAATATTAACGGAATGACGAAGGCAGTAGGCACACGAAGCGTGATGAACCATCAATCAACCAAAACCAGGGGACATGGCATCATCAAGCGGGATTTATTGGAACACAGCCTCAAACAGTTTTGATGAATTGGGTAGAGTTTGTAGATTAGAGAATCGGACGTGCAGACTGAAATGCGAGGACCCAAAAAAACAAAATGAAAATTCCTACATCCTATGTAAATGATCATTTGTGCGCAAGGGATGAGACCAAACACAGTGCATACGGAAGATGTGCGTCTGATCCCGTTTTTTACTGCTACAGAATCCTGACCAGATAGAAGTGCACCATAAGTATTTCAGGAAGGGGCCAAATACCATTGGTCAGAATGAAAATAAGGGCAGTGTAGTGTTTAGTGACGGGAAAAGAGGGTAGGGACAGGAAAATACAAAATAGAACATGAAGCTCATATTCCAAAATAACTGCCATGGCATACAGATCAGCCCCACCCAAGGAGCTGAGGGTTCGAGACTAATGTGGCTAACAATGAAAGATCGAGTTATTGATTTCTAAAACTGAAATGTTCACAGAAGATAAAAATTACAGACGGTTTTAGGAGGGTGAAGCGAGCCCGAAATAGGTACTCAAAAATTGAACTGTTGACGGTGGGGAACCATTTCGTTTGTCACAATTGACAATGGAACGAAAAGTGACCTGTACAAGCGAAGTGTTGGAAATAACACTGAGCTAAGAACTGAAACAGGAGCGTCTTCGTCGAAAAGAACATCAGATTTATCACCAACCATCTGTCTTGGTCGGTGAATTCATGGATAAGCATGTATGTATGCGCGTCTGTGCATCCAAAAGAAGGAACAAAATACTGATATATGTACAAGCAATATCGGTCGATTGCACCCGGTTACATTGCGAGGGCCATTATTGCAGACCGTGCGTGCAGAGTGGAGGAGTCAAAGGACAGTCTTTGAATCTAGACAGCCAGTGACGTCACAGCTTTTTGAACCTTCGATTTCAGTCTGCCGAGAGTGATACAAAAATGATAAAACATGAAGGCCACGATTAGCACGAATCACATTCAAAGGCAAGTGACTGAGCATTTCCGCCAGCAAATAATGGGTAACCGAATACACAATGTGTAGGTAGTGTTGAAATTATATAGACACGAAATGGACTAAGAAATGCCAAACTTATTGTGCTGCATAAAAAGCCTCGCAGAACAATGACAGGATTTAAATTCTGGACTTGTTGCCTGATAAAGCTCCATGAATAACCTGGCATTGATAAAAAGTGAGACAAATTTTAGTTGGAGTGTCTCATACTGACCCGAAAATTACGGAAAACATACTGAGGAGTGAATCGAAATAACCGCCATCCTAATTCTATGAAAACCAGCAAGATTCATGTCACCAACCGCCTGAACAGGTGTCGTCAGCGTCATTTACAGCCAATGATATGGGAAGATCCTGTACTATCCAAGTTCCACACCGTGATAACGAATGGGAAGAACGCGCTTTCTACCTATTCGCGAAGTTAAATTTGCTCCTCATTTTGATTTTCACCTGCCGTTGAAATTTCACTGACCGTACAGTTCGTTGTATCCATTATCATGATTCAGCAGTCAGGCTCCAGAGTTGTACACGACACTGGCCCAGACAAACTTCGAAGGTAAGGTATTGGAAACACCCATTGCCTGATAAATTTTAGTGCTGACGTCTGTCAAGCCATAACTGGATGGACAAAGTCAGGATTTAAGACGCCATAGCCCTGCACTTGGTACTACGGGTAAATGACCGGACAGTGTAGCAAAGGTTCAATAGGTCACGTCGCATGAGAGCGTTGACCCAACGTTCAGAGTATAAACGATTGAACGCATGTGATACTTGCAATTAAAGATATGGGAATCGAAATCGACCAGAAATAGAACCACTAGTGGTCTATTTTTGAAAAGCTGGGAAATCACACAAAGATCTGATAACATGAATAGATGGACATGGCGACCGTTTTGAAAAGATGTCCCTGATGTACTGAGCTTTCAATCCTATCAGCAGCTCAACTTGATCGAACAATAACTCACATTCTTCCCATCAGGGGAGCCAACTTCTTGTGCTGCATCTGAAGAGGTGGATTGTATGCGCGATTGCTCAAAAGCCCCAGCTCAACTCAGGTCATATCACCCTTCTCCCTACCCGTCACCTGGCAATCAAACCAACGCCTGCTGCTTACCTGTCCAAAAAACGACACAGTTCAGCTGCTAACGTGTAAATTACTGACAGGGATGATTATACTTCGCAACGGTTTCTTCATTGCTTTTTATAGAATTGAGCAACCCCCAGTAATCAACCCTCATCCAACATTCCGGTTACACGTCAGCGATGTACCGAAATGATAGTACAAAGGAATGATGATACCGCGGTGCTTCTCGGTCTGCGGAGGGTGTACACAACTACAACACTTGTTGTCATATTATTGGGTAAAACTTCAATACATTCCACATATAACCTGCTAAACGGACGGGAAACTTGAGTATATGGATGATTCAACTTTATTGATCACGACTGAAGCGGGCAATCACGAAAGCGAGTGGCATGATGGCGAGTACACACTTAGTTTCACTCCTAGCTAACACCACAAGTTAGGTGGCATAAGTTTCATCGCCTGCCCCCAGCATCTACCCACTTACACTAACCATTTGGTTGCGGCATAATAAACTTTCTTAAATGCGAATACGAAGGAGGCTGTCCCTCAAAAACTCCCTTTATTACGCATATTTACATCATCTTGTGGGAACAATCCCCCAAGACTCCGATCTGGCGCAACTGCATGGAACAGATTTAGCCCCATAGGCAGAGTTAACAGTCCGTAACATATGTACCCGTCAGTTAAGTACACGGCCACGTCGNTAGACGACATGAACAAAACCTTGATAGCCCTGATAGCATGCTGACAATTAGGAGCTTCGAGGCACGGGGTATTCGTTTATCTTGAAAAAGCACTTGAAACATGGCAAGATGTACCGGATGAGGATGGACAGAATCAAGTGTGACATAGCTAAGTTATTGCGGACCACTGACGAGAAGATAAACCGGCTTTATAGGGAATAGCTCGGGGTTCAGTTCAGTCATTTAGCTACAAAGGGTGCATCAAGGTATAGCGGATTCAGCTGCCACAGAGGATAAGGATGATATGGGATTATCAACCAAGCATTGGAGGTGACGGCCCGATCAGTTCGTTGAAATCAATTTTTTTGTTTGCTTATTGATGCAGAGATTGAGAGAGCTATACATGAAAGGACCACCACTAGCTGTCTTGTGGCAGCTAATCGTTGATTTCTCTCGTCCCGGGGGTACCCATTTAGGGAGAAGACAGTTGTCAACGCGACTGTATTGATCGGTAAGAGCTCTCATGCTTCGCCGCCAAGTCATGCACTGACTGTTCTTGAATCGTCTCTACCTCACGGAAAGATTGATACAAGTGACACACCAGAGCATCATTGCGCATTTGTTTGGGAGTGCATCTCTAGCGTTCACACATCCTAATGCGTCATGTGTGAGGGTAAGGGGTAAGGTGGGGTAAGGGGGTTCCATAACTGCAGGTGGTTTGTGGAAGGCTTATGAATCCTCAAACAACATACGAGGTTGTTGGGAATAAAATTTCCCCTTCACCGAGTGAGTTTAGCCGTCCAAGTGGGCTGAGATTCTCGACCTCGCAACTGTTTAAGAGGTACCACAGCATGCGAAAGACAGTATCCGATGATTAAATCGAAGAAAGAAGTTTGATCAACTAATATAAAACACGTGAAGTGTGGCCAAAGTCACGACATATGTCTTAGAAAACTGCAACCTTAGCATCTTTGGTTCGCTTCAGCGAATAAGTCCAGTTTGTTCAACAGACTGTATAACAATAACTATCTCTAGTCTGCTTCCTAGTTGGATATCCATCTGTAGTTTCGATTGGTGAGTGCCTATTGATGGACTGGAATACCTAGTGTCGAGGTGAATTATGTGCAGAAAAAACCACACCGTTGGAAGGATTTAAAAGCTTGTCATCAGCTTTTCGAACAGGCATCTGAGAAGTCCGCACTAAAGCGAGTTCACATGATCCAAAAATACACGAAGAAACCAGGTAAGAGATGAGACGTATTTCGTCATGTTCATCAAGACCAAGTAAGACACAACGCACTTTTTTAATGAATGGCGTGCGCTTGCAATGGCAACAGTTATACGAAATGAAACTAAACTAGTTTACGGAGGTTGTCTAGTTAGAGAGGAGCAGGTGACCTGCTCCGTTTTTTGTGAGACAGAAAAAGACACTCACCTCATTCGAGGGAACAATCGTAGCGATAGAAGGTGTTAACGTAGGTCGAGAAATTGGAGGTACTGCCACGGGATCTGAGGTGGTCGTCAAATTGGGTGAATCAGTTCGAGGCATCTCCACTTCCACCACCAGATGAGGCGAAGTGTTATCCTCGGCAGATTCCACAGGTTCAGTCTCCTCAACCTCATCCCCGTCTACGTCATCATCCTCATCCCAAAACTCATACCGCCTCGACCGGGCTGTAGGGACAGGCACAGGCATACTCGCGGGTGGGACACGAACAAGCGGATAACAGGAAATATGTGATCGAGGAATAAGGCCGCGAGTACCATCCGCCTTCTCCGCCAGCATCCATTCGGTTTCGCCCGCAGGCTTTCGGTCAACAATAGTGAGAGGTTCGTTTGGATAGACGGCCAACTCATCATGTTCCAAATGAGCGTCTGCCGAGCCAGGACCGGCCCATTCCAACCCACGAGGAAACAAAGCGTAGACACGACCAGAAGCAGCCGAACCCAAACGTTCTTGTTGAACTGATGGTATGGGAGCCAAAAGTAATATAAGAAATCGTTGAACGATTTTTAGTGAATTCTTCGCATACGCTCGGTACTAAGGTGGAGGTTACGCAAAGTCAAGCTTCCAGAGGCTAGTCGATCTCAGGATGACAAAACCACTGGTTTTGGATAGGATATATGAACGGATTCTTCATCGAAAAATGACCTCTCTTAAAAATCAAACAGACATCCAAACAACATATACTACCCAGTGTATTAGTGAGTTTGGATTTAGATCCATGCAACTGATGGAGTAGAAATACGGGAAAAGCAATAAATATGGGTAAACAATTTACCAGCCTCATGAGTAACGGTAAGGTCTTTGACTAGGATACCAAGAGGAAAACGTTCCAATCACCGAGAACAGGTCGCCCCTCATGAAGCAACCAAGACGGGCCGTGAGAAATAACGAGCCGAAAGACATGTAGCATGACCCGCACCAGCCTAACCTAGGTGTTTATATCACGTGCACGTACTTGGGTTTTCGAGGTGAAAACGTTAAATTATTAGGGTACTGCGGTACGGACATAGTTTTTGAAACGGAGACCAGTAAAAGCCCCCACCTCAATTTCCACGGTTCTAAAGGATTAAGGGTTTCACAGGAGGAGCAGCGCTCATGAAGACGGTCAACATCTAGCTGTTTGCCACCCAAAAATCTTTCAATCACAAGGCGATTCCTTCCAGTCTGTATTTGGACCGTTGACCCCAGCAATCCGCCTCTGGACCCCTAAGCAAGGAAACGTGTTAATCAAATACACTAAATTTCTTCTTGTGTGTGCTTGGCATACTTCGCCGGCAGGAAAACGCTGGATAAGCGTTCTAGTCGTACTGGAGGTTTGAGAGGCTCTTCACTATGTTCAAGTATCTGGTTGAAGTACCCGCACAGCTAGCTCGCGTTGATTCATCCCGCAACGTTTACCATCCAGCTGGATAGCCAGGGTGCGCTTAAGGGGCTCCTGGGGAATGCGTCCAGGCACGCCTCGAGCAGTGCCAGCGTCGAACGCTTGAGCGTTGATGCAAATTCCACCTCCTTAAGCGTCTTTCCAAACGACAAACACCGAGTCCATCACTGCGCTCGACCTTTAGCGCACACCAGTACCCACATATTTGCGGTTGGCTGGCTTCAATAAAGCTCTCAAATGTGACTACGGACGACGGTGCGGTTGAGCAGCGATGAGCTGTTTAGAAGGTCCATTGTGCTTGCCTGTATACAGTTTTGGGACCATAAGAAAATCATCATTCGGATAGCCAGGCGTTGAACTTGTTCGACTGCTTCCGCCCCCGTTTTTCGCTTACTCTGTGATGGAATATGGTCTAATCTATAGGCACACACAAGATTGCCCCTGATGCATGGAAAGGCTACCGGTTCTATCAGTGACCGGATTTACGTCAGAAACGAAATCTTCACAAATTTTGTAGACTATGTTTTGAAACCGCTCCTCAATTTTCCCCTAAAACAAGAATTATCCCGCAGTAAAAGATATACAGTCAAACTTCTTCTATATGGTACAGGACAGTGCCGGCCCGACCAAAAAAATCGAGAGAGATAAACTCAGATAAATATAACGCAAAATATATCTAAGTAAGCACTGTGGTTTGAACTACGCCCAAACCAGCTGGAATAGGCGGTAACCAACCACTACAGTCGTCCAGATAAGTATTACCGACGAAGGTAATACGAAGCTGATGTGGTTCTCCATGAACGTTCGGGTAACCCAGCCTGCTAATGACAAACTAACGGTCATGCCAACAACTTTGTATTTAAACGGGGTTCATCACTTGTTCTAAAACAGACAGTGCTGCTACGACCAGAGTGAACACTGACTCCGCGGTTGTTTCAGCTCATCCGGTGCGTCTGGATCGACTCCTAGACCTGTCTGTTCGCCTAAAATAGCGACCTCATTGTAAAGAAACGGGTAGAAAGGAGGTGGAAAACACCTCCAAGCGACGTGAGATACTGAGGTTGTGACGGTCAAAATACGTATCAACGATAGAGACAACATGTAGCAAATTTCTCCAGGAGGCTGAACCTTCGGTGGTGTCTAGCTGCAAGCACCAAACCCATTAGGCAAAAGATGGACCAAAAATGTGAATCTCTTCATCTGAGGCAAAATCAGAGGGGAAACCAGGGTGTGTAGTCGAATTTCACAAAATAACATGAAATAGTCATTGCGAACTGCCTTAGCTTCAAATTCGAGATTACCTACACATTTTACTCACCATACAGTCTAGTACAAAGGTGATGTTATACGGGCGGGATGGAAGAGATCGTGGTTCACCACATCCGAACATTCGCATTCGGATTTTACACGACAACTGATGAGAATGAAGGTCATCTTCCAAGTAATCTAGTTCAGAAACTTGGTTTGCAATAAAGACACTGCGACAAATGACTCTACGAGGTCTACTCTCTAGTTATGATATTCTCAAAATGGCCTATCAAAACGAAAAACCTATCCAATGTGGAGAGGGAAGAAACACCATTCATGCTGATTACGGAACAAAAAACTCACAGAACAAGTACTCTTCACATTCAGCTTCCTCATCACCCTGGTCACATTTTTCCAATGGTGTTTCTTGATCGGACAGAGTGCGTGCATGAAGTGAAGCCCCATGTTCAACAAGTAATCGGGCCAGGGGCAGATTGGCACAGGAGGCAGCACAGTGCAACGGTGTCCACCCATCGGTATCACCCGCATTCACATCTGCACCTGCAGTACGCACAAGAAATTCGGCAATCTCAGTGCGTCCAGCACACACAGCATTGTGTAACGCGGTAATACCCTCGTCATTTGGTTCGGAAACATCGGAAACCTGGAAGGCAAGAAAGTGTGCGCGTTTATCAACAAAAATGTACCCATCTGATAAGTGTCGATCCACTGACAGAAAAACTGGCAAGCTATTGTTTTCGGACATCACCAGTTGCAAACGCTTTCGGTGTCATTCAGCTGGATCAACAAAGTGGTCGCAAAATGTTACACACTCATGTCCGAACATTGCTTGTCCTCCCCACAAGAAAACCACAGGTACCACGTATCATTTTAAACAAGAAAGAACACCAGACCAAAGTGGTATGGGAACTTGTCGAAATCCGCAAATGCTAATTTGATTTAAGAAATGGTCGAACATGTGGTCACCTGCGGAGGCAGCTGAGTGATACTCCTCAAGTCTGTTAACTAGATAAAAGTTGTTCCTGATCAAATTGTGGGTGTATGGAAGAACGTTAGGAAGTAAACGCTAACGAATGCTGGGCGCATTTTCCCACTCAAATAAGTGTGTGGATATCTCTGTTAATGGAGGCATTCATTACTGTGAAGCGTTATTATGTAAATGCAACTGTGATGACGCATTGAAAAAACAACCGAGCCGGATGTGGTAGCACCTTTCGGTATCAAATTAACTTCCGGCTTTAATCACTGTTCCCATGAGACTGAAACCGAAATAGGGAAACTATGGGGGACAGTTATTCCACAGTCAGAGGATAAACAGGAAAACACAGGAAAAGGGCTTACTGGGTTGAAAGACTACATGCTACTTGGTGTTCGGAACTTCTCAGTTTTTCCGAATACCGAGCAGTGTGTGGTTTTTAACCGGGGAGAGAGTGTCCCGCCGGCCCATAAGCATGAAATAGAAAACTCTGGGGAAATCAGCTGATACGGCTGACCATACTATTAGACTGTGAATCGGCCCTTAGGGCGTTCTCGCTGTCAGTTTCTATCCAGGTTATCTGAATGAATGATTAGACGTATAGATATTCAGTAATGTCAGTGGGATATCCCCCTTTTGGTTATGCTCCTCACGGGATAATTTCTTCACATAAATCACTGCGGTTGTAGGGCAGTAGAATATGAATGTTCAAACCTATTATCGCTACTACCAACAATAATGTCCGAATGCTCGGATTTCCACTGCTTTCTCTGAGTGGGTTTGGGTCCAAGTTTCTATCAGGTTATCTGAATGAATGATTAGACGTATAGATATTCAGTAATGTCAGTGGGATATCCCCCTTTTGGTTATGCTCCTCACGGGATAATTTCTTCACATAAATCACTGCGGTTGTAGGGCAGTAGAATATGAATGTTCAAACCTATTATCGCTACTACCAACAATAATGTCCGAATGCTCGGATTTCCACTGCTTTCTCTGAGTGGGTTTGGGTCCACGGTTCGCTTTTGGGCTAGTTTAGGCTAGTATGCTTTTAGTTTTCTACACACGAAGGTGGTGAGGCGTCAAGAATGGTGGTGACGTCACTGATATTTCCGGCACTTAGCTATTCGACAATCTTTCCAACAGGCTAAACATAACAAAGGGTAGTGAAAATCACTTTGGACGGCTCTATTGGCTGCCCACGCATCATATGTAACAAGATCACCAGCCAATCAATAAATCTACTTACTGTGACGACGTGATTTGGCCTCATTGTGTTCCGTACGGCACAGGATTCTCTGACACTGTTCATTGCTTCGAGACGTATAGAAGTCAGTGCAAATTCTAAGACAGTCTTAGTGCCAAATGGTCGGGATATATAATCTACATCCGATCCAAAGAATATCCGCACATCACCGGATGCGCGTCATAGAAAACTGCCACATTGTGTGTGGAGTTAGTATGTAACATCACCATCGATGGCATAACCTCGATGCTCAACACTAGTGTTTCGCTGGCTCACAGCTACTATGTAACATAGTCTCGCAAATACAACGGAAGCGGGTTCGTTCCATCAGCTGCTCGGCATCGTATCAACCAGTGAAAGCGAACCACTAGTCGCTTGTCAGTAAACATGTCCATTCTATACATGAAGTGAAAGACTCAGCAGGTGGGCAGTCAAAAATGCATGAAAGCGGTTCGGTATAATCAGTCCACGTAGCCAAGCCCACAAACATAAGAACAAACTTAACCCGTAAGAAATTGTGTGTAACACTGGACGGTTAGAGGAAGCCTAGTGATAACGCTGACGCCGGCGGCGACCGGAGGTGAGTAGGTAGTACATGTGCTGCTGGTATGAATCGATAGACCCATGTGATGCTGTTTCGCAAACGGACCGCACAACACCAACATAAACCATGCGCAACGAACACAAGTGTAGTCAGCAACTGCGAGTTTAGCAGCAAAGGTTGTCCTGCAAATGGTACAGGAACGGAACGTCAAAAACGTGAATTTCGGCAGGTGGTACCAGTAGGTGAAAACACCGATGAAAGAGACACTCAAATGACCACATGCGGGTTTCGGAGTAACGTATTACATGTCATGTAAAGATGCGCAACATGACTGCACGAAGGCACTTGGAGCCGAAACGGAAGTGTGGAATGCGGAACTGAAAAGGTTCGCATAGAGACTGGAAGGCGAATCCGCTGGAATGGCCAGATAAGCGAAATTGGCAGAACTACAAAAGCCTTCCGGCTGAGTGTTTGATTAGTTTTCTCAATTGGGTCATTATTCAAATGAAATAAACGCTTGACGAGTAAGGTACCGTTGATCCGAGTACTATTCCCTACAACTAGCTTTTGTCAACACCTTGTGTAATTGGGTTCCTCTCTAGGATTTTCGAAATTCCTGTACTGCCTACATCAAAGGCCCATTAGGTTTAGAATACGGGATAAAGTTGTGTTAGCCGTGAAGAGCATTGTATCTTTTCTATCAGAACGAAGGCTATTAATTAAGAACGGTCGTTGAGGGGAGTTTTCTCGGAACAGGAAACAGTCAGCTGTAGAGAAGACGTGCTTACAATCCAACCATCGAAGACCGGATACAGTACTAAAGTTTCCCCTGATTCTGGCTTCTCTGGCTACACCGGAATGAGCGTATCACCGACTCATTGTAGGTCCCAGCAAAGTCACTCTGCTGGTTTTTGGACTGAGTGTACAGAAGAGCTCATCAAATCATTTGGCTTCCGACAACCACGGGCGAGTATATACTGACAAATTTTTTCAGATGCACTGAGCGGAATACGAAACCAATGGCCCAGAGTCTGTGATAATACCAACCTGTACGCTCAAAATTTGAAGTCACTTGAAGGTTTCTTTTTGAGTGATGGCGAAGCATTTGCAAGCAAATTGCCCGACTTGTTGGACGGGCCAGCAACGAATGTGGTAAGGGCCCCATAAAAGTCAATTTTATCGGTCAACAAATGAAGGCACAAGAGATGTGTACAAACAACCCAGGTTGTTCGAACGATGTTATTCGGAGATTGTCTAACAAGACTCAATTGTTTCTCTAAAGGTAACTTTCTACTGACAAAATACTGCCAAAGTTAGGCAAAGTAGATGTTTCATAATAAACCGTAGCTGTCAGGTCTAAACACACTCATGTGTCGGTGAAACTGACAAACGAATTTTCGGCGTTTGTCTTGTGCGATTGCAGTAGCCATCATGTACCGCAGGTAGGATGACGGTGATTTGAACCCAATCGAACCACCAGAAAATTGTCTGACTATACATAAATGACAGGCATGTGCACGAGCATATAGCTATGCCAAACGTATGGGGTGTGACGAGTTGCCTTGAGACTATCTACTTAATGTGTAGTCAACAGATAATTATAGACACACATGTGCGCACGACTGAAACAACTGAAATCTGCCTGAACGATGTAGGTTTGTGGCAAAAAAACGCAGACAACCAATATTCAGGTGGCTATCTAAGGTACGCACCAGGAAAGCCATTTTTTAGGTTACGAAAGGGGGTGAGCCAATCAACACAGCAGAATCCAGATAAAGCGAATGGCGGCTTTCAGAACGAAATCTTCACAGCTAAATGCTAAATGTAGACAAAAAAATCTCAGGAAACTGGAATATATCCAAGTCCAAGAGTTGCGGTTGAACAGTTCGAATGAGTCTAAAGATTACACGGTCATTACACATGGGCTCTTGCCACTGAACTCCTAACCCCTTGTTGAGAACGGATGATGACAGTCATTCGCCCTTCCATTGTTGGGTCTCAAAAAGTTGTCATGCTTCGAGTAGCGCTCAAACAAGAGTTACGAACAAGTGCGAAACCGGGCAAAGCGAAAAGCATGAAGTGATCACGATTGACTGAGCCCTCTGCAGACTAAAAAAGGAGAAACAGAATATGGTCTTGTGGAAATATTTGACAATTAACAAGAGGGACGGAGGAGATGGTGGATTCGCGAGAACCCTCAACTTCAGGGGAACGATGATCCTAACCGACAAGTGCTCCACACTTGTGAAGCCTCAAACTCGGAGTTACCAACTGAGTGTGGTTGCTTCTGAAGGGGCGAAACCTATGTCTACGGAGTGATCAACGAAAGGGAAGTCGTGTACAGCCGACATCCTAATAAAGTCCACCCGTACAGGAAAGTTCCGCAGCTTGTCTTAAAAACCATAACGAGAAGTAGAAAATCCTCAGCAAGCAAAGAAATGGAAGAACCCCGTGGAGTCACGAAAGGCCTGTTGATGAGTCAGGGTAATATTCACTCTGGCCACTACATTTAAAAAATCGAAATGGGAATGGCTGACAGCTTTACATGTTGACAAACTGATGGGATTCACGTGATTGGGGTTAAGTGGTGGTCCGAGTGAGTCGATGTGAACTTCGGAATTTAGGTCCATTTTAGCGAAATACACTCATTCACAAATCAATTAGGACTTGCGGGAGACTCACCTGGAACCCAGCTGAATCTCTCGTTTAGGATGTTTTTAAAGGATTTACTATGTGTACGACCATAGAAAAGACACAGGGATCAAATCACGGGAGACAGAATGAGGAATCTTTTGGTATCCAGCACTTTTAAACATGTCAGTATTAAACAAATGTTTTACTGTCACACGCAACACCTAATAGCACAAAGTGGAATCA